ATGATTTAATTGGCCTTCCTGAAAAAAGGGAAAAGGAATCACCATGTGTTTTAGGTGGAAAACATGTACATGATCTTTGATTGCTTTGTTCTGATGGGTCTTCAATACATATTTCTTAGAGGGTATTTGAAATGGTTCTTTAGATGGTTTAATGGTTCATTAATTTTGAAGCTAATATTTCAAATAACAACTAGAAATTGGAAAAAGTTCAATTTCAGACTCCAGATGACTGATTTTTTTTTTAAATTGTCTTTAGTTTTTAGATAGATAGATAGGTTTTAAATAGGTGATGTATGATATGATATATGATATATGATATGAAATATGAGATGATATTATACTATATGATATGATATATGATATAATAGGATGTGATATATGATATGATATACAGTATGATGTACGATATGATTTAATATGATATTTGATATGATATGATATACGATATGATATACTATATGATATATGATATGATATACAGCATGATGTACGATATGATTTAATATGATATGATATACGATATGATATATTATATGATATACAATACGATATACGATATGATATACGATATGATATATCAAATGATGTTATATGATATTAAATGATATGATATATAATATGTTATATGATATGATTTAATATAATATATGATATGATATGATTTGCTATATGATATGATATGATCGATATGATATAATAGGATAAGATATGATATACAGTATGATGTACGATATGATATACGATATGATATACGATATGATATACAATATGACATATCATATGATGATATATGATATTAAATAATATGATATATAATATGTTATATGATATGGTTTAATATGATAATGATATGTTATATGATATTATCTGATATGATATATGATATGATATGATTGATATGATATTATATGATTTGATTTTTTGATTTGATACATTTATTACATTGATCATAACTCATAAACTGGAAGTAGTACTTTTTTCGGACCTCGTTTTCAGACACTGATATCTCGAAATCAGCTACAAATCTACATTATGTTACTTTTTTATGAGGAACACAATGAAAAAAAACGGAGTGAAAATATAGAAGGATGACCGTGAAAATTTAATAAGTGACAAAGTACTGGATTTGACCTAGTTATTGACCTATATAAAACATTGAACAAATTTCCTAGGAACTAGATATAGTACTTTAATTGACCATATGATTGTCTTTACTGAATGTCTTATGGTTGTTGAGAGAACGTGCTATGTTTAAGAATAACTAGAATGGTAAATTGTGAACTAAGTTAAGACTCAAGATTGTAGACTGTCTTCGAAACCGGCATTCTAATAATAAGAATACTGGCAAAAACAATAGACTCCAGACTTCATCTGGAGTCTAATAACAAGAAAAGAAGCAAAAACAATAGACTCCGGACTTCATCCGGAATACCAAGAGCACATTACTTTTTTACCTCTTAAAAATAATATCAAAAGTAAGAATTATTTATTTGAACTAAAAAAATTAAATTGCACAAACTAGCATGAAACTTTAATGAGATTGCAATATCGCAGGAAAGGTGAAAATTATTATATATCAACATGGTTCTTACTCTTATTTGAATTATTTCAATGTTCATAGATTATAAGAGATCTGACAGATTTTCAAGATTTTTAAAGTGTTTCAGACACTCTACGTAATATACATGTAAGAAACACACAGTGTATCAGTTCATATGACGACATTCCTTCTTTTAAACAGGTAAAGGGAATCTTTAGGAAATTGCAGTGTTTTGAATTTTGGAGAAGAGAAAATGCACAAGAACAGTTTGGCCATTATGGCCAATTGCAGGCATACAATTAAATATTGACTAATACAATGTATAACAATATACAAAACAGAATTGAAATGAACAATAAGACAAAAATTTGACATATAGCCTTAGGCAAACCCGAATGGATCTTCTTATTACAACATCAAAATAAACCATTATAGATAGAGCAAAATTTGGCATAGCCTTCGGCCACACTAAGGGATTTTCCAAGCGGACTTTTGAAATAAAATTAAAATTACAGAAAATTTGGGCATAGCCTTCGGCCACCCCAAAGGGATTTTCCCCACTAGATTATCAAAATAAGTCATTAAAAATACAGCAAAGACATACTAGCTTTTGGCATTGGGCCTTTATACTTTGAAGAAAAGGGTGACATAAGGAAATATGGGCATATGGGAGCACGTATTCTGTAACGTTGTTGGAGAAAACCTGCTTTTGTTGATGATGCTGATTTTGATGGTGCTGATTTTGATGGTATATTAGATCATGAATTTGAAAATGGACAAATGAATTACTATAAAATTATAAAGATACTTACATTATCATTTGAATTCGATATGTCTGCTAAAGCTTTCCTCTTGTTACCCCTTGGTTTAATAGGAGTGCTGCATGCAATGGGACAAAGCGTTTCCATTTTTGATCTTTTTTATTTTCATGCTCAGTTATTTTGAAATTTCTTCTTATATGATGTCACAAATAAAGAGAGAACAATTAAAATTAAACAATTAAAAATAAACAAGTAAACAAATAAAAATATAGTAAATCTGAAACATAGGATTAAATCCTATGCTAAGGGCTGGTGTGAAAAAACACTCCATCTCGGTGGGAATCGAATCCACAACCTCCCAATTACACGCCGGATGCTCTGCCACTTGAGCTACAGAGCAAACTACTGATTCTCTAATATCAACATTGTGTTTGTGGCATCACGGCCATGACTTACATGCCCTGTTTCCTGAACCCATCATTACATTTACCTGTCTTTCCAGGTTGTCAATCACACTATTCATGATGTCACATGGTCTTTCCAATGGGAATCTTCCTGAATCATGTTAAGCAATCGCCCAGTCAATTAATGAAACTCCATCCATGTTATTCTTTAATTTTTCCTGTTGTCATGTGGTTGCTAGGCAACAATAATACAAGTTAAAACCTTAACATACATAATATCCAACCATCTATCCTGATTAAACATATTAATAATATAAATTATTAATTATACTGCTGTTCATCCAGGCATGTTTTATTCAGTTGATCAAAATGACTTAGCATTATAAAACCACTTATCAACCAATTGATGAAAGCGCGTTTGTCAAAGTACTGGTCCATAATGACATCATAATGGGGTTTTATTACAAAAAATTGAGATGCTGTCATTACTTATACTTTTTAGTTTGACTGGATATCATCGTCAACATGTACCTTAAAAATTGTAAACAATAACTTTATTTTAGTAAAAGTTTTCAATCTCAACATCAAGCTTAAAGGACATGGTCATGGCTGGTTGCTAAGGAAATAGTCTCCATAGCAATGGTGCTCAACATCATACCCAGCAACATGAAACTCCTGTTTACCACAATAAAATATTTATTAACCACTTTGAAACAAAAATTGCAATAGTAATGAAAACATTTCTTGCATATAGCCGCAAATACATAGAATCAAAATATTTCGAAAAGTAGGTTTGTCATTAGGGTAGATTAACGTCATTCTATTCAGATACCACCCTAGTTTCAATCATTCCTAGAACAAGATTGTTTTATTTTCATGCAAATCCAAAGCCATCGCTGGAAAGAGCACATCAGAAATAACAAATGTAGCAAATGGCTTACCTACTTCCAGTATTTTGAAGAGGTAAAAAAAGTAATTGTAATGTGGAATTATATGTAAATTAGGAAAAATAACAAAATTTGGGCTATTATGACATCACAATAGCTCAAAAATCAATTGTTAACCAAATTGTGTTGAATAACAAATTCCCCTATTACTTCCCTTTACTTCACAATAAATATTATCAAAAATGATTATAACTAAAAAAATCTACAACAACTTTTGTATTTTTAGGCCCGTTGCAAGGAAAAAGTTGTGGTTGCTATGGAAATGGTTGCCCCTAGCAACAACATTCATGTTACAGATTTGGCAACATCAAAATTCTTATTCAGCACCTCAAACTCTATAAAGTACACTATGTTGCCAAGCTGTAACAAAAATTTCCCACGAGCCCACTTAACAGCCCGGACTACAGGTCGTGTAGACCATTGTTGCCCGATTTATAGCAAAAACATTGACTTTTGCACGTGGGTGATGATGCGTCTTTTTTAATAGATCTCGTATCTTAGAAGGGTATCAGTTCAAAAAAATACTAGATGGCCTAACATATTTTGCAATGCACTGCGCCTATTCATTTGGCAATTCAGTTGTAAAGTTTCTCTTGAAAAAATAAATCTTCCAAATTTGTTAAGTTTTCTTCCAGAAATCGCCTAATCCCCCTCCATCCATTTTGTACGATCACCGGGCGTGCTTATATTATTAGAATTTGGCCAGTTAGTTTGTTACATTGAATCAGTTCATGCTGTTTTCTATTTTCAATGGCAAGAGTCGGCGATGTTTGGTAATGTTCATTTAAGGTTGTGCCATATGACAATTGTGAGGGTTGTGTCAAGAGGTTTGCATTTATGTCCCCAAGTGATCATAAAATATTAGCTTCATTTATGAAGTTATACTTCCATTGGGATCTACTCGCTATTATCATATGTTTTATCAGTAGACATTAATATTTTATCATACATGGGATGAGATATAAGTGTCCTTGGGGTGCACTGATGCCACTTAATATCATATTCGACGCACTCGTCTACCAATAGATGGTGTGACTCCTCTGATCCATTCACAGTAGATCGAGTCCAATAGCGCCGAACAGTCTATTGATTCCATAACTCAATAGATGTTCAATACGAAAAATGACACAACAATAGGAAAACCCATGTGAACTTTTCTGCGATGATGTATTGCTCTCGCGAGGATATATTTTTATGGATCCCGACCCGGAACCGTCTTCATTAAACTATTAATGTCAGGGGACAAAAAGGAATAACCAAATGAAACTTGGAAAACAATATACAATAGGACATACTCGCACTATGTGGAACTTAATAACTACGTTTTGTATATTGGCGTTTTCTTCAGGTTGCTATGGTAACCCGGATGCTAAGAGACTATATGATGACCTGCTTAGAAAGAGTGGGTACAACAAGCTGATCCGACCTGTCAGTAACAATTCGGATAAACTGACAGTTAGGCTGGGGCTACGTCTGTCACAACTCATCGATGTGGTAAGTCAACATCCACTGGTAGCTTTTTCTTCATCGTATTTTTGAGTCTCGTAATAACATGGCATTAAATTATATAGTATAAAATAAAAATGATGTTGCGCCATACAACATAACCAAACGTTAATCAAATATATCTCTGTCGTTCTTTTGTCAAAATTCTATCTCCCACAGTCATACATGAAATTACGCTGTGTTATATGAATACCAATCAACCTGCATTCTATTATTCCCTTACCCCCCCCCCCTCCCTGCCAGATAGAGAGATGGTCATGCTGGAAGACTATGAATTGTTTTGGCAATGTATGAGTAAAATAACACGATGTTTTACAATAAATATAATGATATTATACAATATGTATTACGTGCAAAATTCCATAATGTATTGTTATAGCACTCTCTGTATACAGAAGGCTAATGATTACTTTGGGAAAATTAAGTCGAAATCTCTTCACTTGGATTTATTTATTTGTAATCATCAAGCTCGATTATGACGTTTGTCGTGTGTAACGTAACCTCGATCTTGTAACCCCCTCTGTCCCTACCCATTAACTATACAAACAATTTAACATCACATTAATTAATTGATTGGAGCCTGTTTGGAAGTAAGGCAAAATGGGAGCTTTTAAGTCAATGTAGCTACATCGACACCTCCCTCTTTAGCATGATGGATTCTCCCTTTTGGTATTCATGAGTCGTTGCTTTGAATTGGTAAATATATGTTTGGTTGTGTCCCATTACACCCACTGCAGACTGAGACTGCGATACGGATATAACATGAGCTTTCGGAATAGTTTTCTGATCCGAATTCATGATATTTTTAAATTAGCCTTGTTGCGGCCTTTTTAATTCAGTGTTTAATGACAGGTGCAATATATGATAGCGTATTCTAACATAACGATTTGCTATAGCATGTGCACATCCTAGGTATATTCATTTGAGACACCTCAATTCCTCAATTTGAAATGGCAGTCTGTTAGCATTGCGATAAAACATGCTCTTATATTGCAACAAATACGGATATGTTCTAATTGCAATGGATACGTTTACATTGCATATACTCGCATTTCAATGCAATACGCTCAAATTGCATTAAAATGTACATGTATGTCAACAATTTCTCACTGCTTGTTCATAGCCCAGGAGAGAAAAATTCAACATGGAAGCTATGTAAACGTATACAATTTTCCATTATTTGAGCTATAACCGGACACGAACGACAAAAAGTTCTCCACAAATAAAAAAAATGAAATGGGAAAACTCATCAATCATAAAAGAAGTGAGCAATAATGAATATTAAATGAAACACACACTTATCAAAACACTTTCACAAACGGATAATGTAAGTGTTGGTTCTCAAATAATGACATCTTAATAATTAATCAATTACTACAATAAAAAGGCTAAATCAACAGAAAGCCATATGTTTATAATAATAAAGATAGCAAGGGAATTAATCTCAACAATACGTCAAGTTGCACGTTTGAGCTGCAAGATATCAAGTGATAGTTTGTCTTGTAAAATGTCCTCAATACAACTTATTGTACCTCATATTAACGGGACCATTAATCAATTAAAATCTCTCTAAATACTTCCTGTTAACGAGGTCTGTCTTCCCTGACATCTGACAATTAGTGGAGTATGTTCCGGCATAGGTACTTATCATAAAAGCAAAGTGAACAACGCTATGCCCTTTTCAATGATTTAATTTTATATCTTTAAAGGAGTCTCATCTAACAATAATAATACCACCCTCTTCACTGTTCCACAACTAGTTACTTTGACGGAACGTCCATGTAACAAAATGGATGAATTTCCCGGATACGATTTTTTGTTTTTTCTCTTTTAAAGAAGCAAAATTAGAACTATACAAGTAAATTCATTCGCCCTAGTTAATCCCCATTTGTTTATTACTGGGACAAGGTATTCTTGCAGTAACCAATTAATAAATGAGCTACTGCAAAATTCTCAAGACGGGAATTACAAGTGTAATTTATGATTTGTTAATTATCTGAATTTCTAGGAAATATTAAGTAACGCCTAGCAGTAACATCTAAATAATAGCTTGCTAACCAATCAGTATGCCATCGAGATTCGAATATCTCGAGAAAACTTTCGTCGTCCCAGCATATAAATCTAAATCTATTAGATTCTGAAAACTCGCTGTTGATGTTATAGCTTTGAAAACATGGATTTCAATTAAACGGTTTCAAGAGTGATGTGATATGTTTTTGTTACATATCTCAAGACATCTGTTCAAATAGTCTTATTGAATATGTGTTATTCCTTAGTTTTAACTAATTCCTTAGTTTTTGTTAACGATTTTTCTACAGAGTTCTTTATTGTTGTTCTGTCGTTTTTTCAATAATATGGATTGATCGCTCGTTATATTGTCTGATTATTTAAGTTGTTCCTATATATAATTACATATGTTATTAAGTTGCGTTGAGATGTATGTTTTGAGCTAATGATTTGAATTAAATCCCTTATATTTGTTTAGTGATCTATACTAACGTAACAGTATTGAATATTTCTTAATTACGTGCTTTATTTACTTAAAGTACTGATTTCACTCTACCATTACCAGAGATCACGATAGTTGAAAAAACTTGTTAGCCATTGTGGCTAAATCTTCCCAAAATTTTTTAGCCAACCAAAATATGAATTAGCCATTTTGAAAAACCGTAAAAAAGGGAATTCGCAATAGAGGTGTCACGGTCCAAGAAAATTTCGGTACGGTACGGAACGGTACAAATGGTCTCAACACGTTACTTTCAGGACGGGACGGGACAGAACATTAAAAATGATGCAATGTCTGATGATGACAGTTTCACTTTCAGTTTCACTTTTCAAAATCATATTCAGAAATAAAAAAACGTCAATTAAAATTGAATGTAAAGCATCTGCCGCGAATGTGATCGGCATTTCACATAGTCTGCACGGTGTAATATCACCAATTCGTTTACCTTGTGATATCGGAGTCCCAAAATACTTCCAAACTGCCGACTTTTTCGACTTAGATGCCGGCTCGATTTTTCAATTTCTTTCCTACATCCGGCATACTGTTAATGCACTCGATTTGCGAACGACGATGAAGAAATTTACGAACAAGCATTACCATGTACCTGAAATCGCGGGTCCGTTAATAACACTTTTCAATGCAAAGACGTGTAATCTAGGTACGAGGTAAGTGCATTGCACAGAATTGGTCGAATAGCCGATAGATGTCATTCATTGATTAAACATGACGTCATATTTGAGATCTTAAGATAAATCTGACGTCATGACGTCAGTGCCATAGAAACTGAGATTGTCTTATTTTATTTTGACGTCATTCCAATGTAATGAACCAGTTATATCACCAAAAGTTATCATATTTTGTTTGAAATTGGCCGAAAAGTTAAAGGTATGAGGATTCTAATCTCAACGGAATCAAACAGATCTACCTTCAAAGTTACAGAAACCTGAGATGACTAAGATACCATATGATTTTAAGTACCTCTACCAGATCGTTGAATATCCTCATTTCACCATTTTGGCGCCATTTCTAATGGATTTCAATGGAGTCATGCATGAATTCCTCATGATTTTTTCAAAACAAATTGGCCGAAAAGTGTGCATGTGTACATTGCTTAAAACATGTTAAATCAGTAAAGGTTGGTGTTTAGTTATAGAAACCTGAGATGACTAAGGTGGCAAATCAATATCATTCGCACAGTAAGCGTTCGAAAAATGTCTCCATTATAAATCCCATAGGCTTTGGAAAACCGGAAGTAATGGGTCTGCGCATGCGCAGTGAAATATTGGACAAATTTTGTGCAATGGTATGACTCCACCATTGTTTTGCCGTTTTACTACATGCCACAATCAACCTCACTGCCAGCATATCAAACCATGCCCATTTTCCATCAAACTTGGCCCAACTACTATCAGGTGGATGTCCTTCAAAAATCAAGTTGGCATGGTTACCAAAGCCTTATAGTTGCCATGGCAACCGTAGAAATGGGGTAAAAAATGAGAGCAAAAAAACACCCAAACCCACCATATTGGCACTAATTTATAAAATATTTCTAGACATACAAATTTTCTTAAACTTTGATATCATCTAGGACACTTCTAGACAACGAAAATATCAAAAATTGGGGGTAGGTTTACCACTTCGATTTTTTTCTAGGCTTGGTCAAAGTAAAACTACGAAAAAAGCACTCATTTTCACTTTTGAATCACCTATTATCGCCCAAATGGCTATATTTTTTCAAGGTCAAGGTCGCCATGTTAAAAGTAGAATTACGGAGATAAATCTGCTCTTCAGACAATGTTTGATGGCTTTTCTTCACCACGGAACAAAGATCTTTGCGCTGGTATGCCCATTTCCATGAGATGATATACGTGAAAGAGGAACTATGTCTTTAAATGTCATCAAAACTTTATGCCAACACGTGAAAAGGCCATTTCGCACTACTTTTGGCGTAATAATTCCCAATGGAAAATATTTAATTTTTCAGAACGAAATCGGAGGTGTTCCTCGCTATTTATAGACGTTTTTATGCATTTTAGGGAAGGAATCTAGGTACCGATATTAACCCTTTCTGTCCCATGTCGTGAACCGAAGCATCTGGACCGAAATTCGGTCCAATATCGGGAAACCGTGACACCTCTAATTCGCCATAACTGCGAAATACCTTTACATATTTTTCGCCACCTCTTTCGAAAATTCGCAATTGGCGAATGGCGAACGTCTACCGTGATCTCTGCCATTACCCACCTTGATTGTGATTTACAAACGTTCTGATTGGCAGCACCACTGAGCTGTGTATTTCAGATTCCACATATCGTCTAGGTCCACAGCCCTATTAATCACAGTTTGAGTTGAGGAGAAGTATACAATCATGTACATAGTTGGGATGGTCAGATCTTAAAGTCAGATCAACGTATGAATAGATCAATCTATATCTATTGGTTATTATAGTGTCCTTAGCAATCTGAATGATTTCATTGGATTTGAGCTTCTGTCTACCCAAAGTTTCAATTTTTCAATTAAATGTGATTTTGACCAACTACTGTTACTCCTTGTCAGCAGACATTGTGGAAGACTGACTGATATAATAGAGATTTCGCATGTTTATTATTCCCGTATAACGTAACTTGTCTGATTACGTCATCACTTATTGTGTGTGACATTCTTATAATAGTCTATAAATCATCGTCTACACCTAAGAATATCACACTTATGGACGTATAAAACTACGCAATAAATGATGACATAATCAAACGCGTATTAGCTATAAGTTATACGGGAATAGTAAACATGCTATAAGTGAGTTGCGAAACCTCTCTATTTAATAAAGAAAATGTATGTTTTGCTGACATCATAAGATTTTTGATTTCTGATCATTTTATCCTGTTTACAGTTGACCAAGTCAATGAAATGGCAAATGTTCAGCAAGGCGTTATGATGAAAACTATCAAAGCAATCATAGAAATACGAAGTCGAATCTCTGGCTACAAATTCATCCTCGGGTCATAAACTGCGACGACTCCCTCACTGATAATCTCATCCGTGACAAGATCATTGTGCATTATCTCTATCAATAAAATCTGAATAATCGGTTTGGTTTCAGCACTACCTCAGAGTATGTCTTTTCCTTTACCCCTGTTAAGCCCGCAAGGGACATTCCCCAGCAGTTTCTGCTATATTTCTATAATGCAACTTGACCACTATAGTATTTCTTTCACGAGAAGACTTATAAGTGTGTGTCTAAACGGAGTCAGCTGGCCAAGAAAATTGGTCCGATTGCAAGAGTTGATACAAGTTGGAAACCTTTCTGCTAGAAATAAAATTCCTCCATTGTAAACGACTCGTGCAATTCTGTGCATGAATATTTAATATAATGACTGTTGCTATAATATAGATCTAGATATTTTCAACAACAATTGGATCTTCCATAGGAAACATCAATTTGCAGATATTGTATTACAAGGGCTAGTAAATTCAACTGGCATTTAGATTAATTCTTTTCAAAGAATACGAATTATAGATAATGAAGATATTTCGCCATACACGATTTTCATTAGGATTCGATTCTTTGAAATGTCTATGATTAGAGGTCTCGGAGAGATGTAGTGTTTGAGTGAGCAGTGTATTTCGTGATAATATATATTAGTCTAAAACGCAATACGATTATAATTTTACAGAGCTTCTCATTTCGCAAAGTTGCTTATTTTCCTTCAGAACATCCGATTGCTTCTTTAGAGGCGATTCAATTAGCATCAAGCAGTATTTCGGGAAATAAGATACCCCGACATGCAAGTTGTTACTCATAACCTTGAAATGGTTTTAAGAATGCATCCTCTCTAGATCTGTTTTTTCTGTCTTTCCTCTTTCCCAAAATACCCCCTATTCAACTTTCCTCTCAAAGAGACGCATTGAAGAGATCATTGTTCGCTTTATTTAGACCTTTTAGTTTATCGCAGTTAGCAGTTATTTTTACTCTGTCTGATTGATGGCTATCAAGTGCAGGGATGAGCACATTGGATCTCTCTGATAAAATTATCATTTATATCTAATAGTTGGTAAGTTCGTATCAGATCACCTGGCTAATCTTCGGGGTCTGCTCAAATATAGTAAAATTTATTGCCTCTCTGATACCAACAATTTAGTTTATCCAAAGCATTCAGCTGGGAATTGACAGCTTAATATTTTTGGTAACCCAATTATGCGTAGAGATCTGAAGAGGTGTGTATATTATAGAATTTCCTATAATATAGCTGATAACGGACCCGTGCTAACCACTGAACTGTGGAATTAGCATTCTCAGAATATCAGAGGATCGTTTTGATTTAACACTCGAACATGCTTTTTCATGGAAAATATGTAGATGAGAAAATAATTCGAACTAACGTATTAGTAAGCTCAGTACTGTTTACACTGGCTGGTAAGGTTAACACAGTAACTTGCACAAAGGGCAACAACAAAAAGAAAGGTGCTGAGTTTTCTTCAACTTCTTTTGTAGCTATACATGTAGCTAGTGCAAGTTATTTTGTCAAAAGTGACCACACGTGCATGGCAATGGCGTTTGGTAATGTCCAAGCATCATTGTTTCAAAATCTAGGGAATTGGTCTACGGAAAGGGTCTACTACAGATGCAAGGTCATATGGTAATTGGTATCCTCAATATCTGTATCATTGCGTGAAAATTGCCACTTCTCAGGGTATCTTGAAGCTAAGAGACAAGAAGAAATAGAAAAGATCAAGCACTTTAATAATGAAAAATCAAACTCACAAGTAATCTAAGGGCGACATGTAAATGCATTTTTACTTTAACCTATACTTACTTATTAATAACTGTTATTTATCTTGTTTAAAAGTACCTGTACTTATAAGTAAAAACTCTTTATGTTTTGAACCGTTCAAAAGACAGGAATATTTCCAAATATTATTTAACCAATATTATTTATAGATTCAACGGATTATACCCCGATGACATCAGTACTTATCTTTTCCTAAAAGCAATTTCTTGTAATGTTGATATAATATCATATTAGCAAAATATGGTAAGCAGGACCAGTTCAAACAGAATACCATCTTATGAATTTACATCGGAGTTAAGTTCCGATATTGAGAATTTCACGGTTTCGCTTTCTATGCATATAAATCGCGATATTATAGACTTACATTCAGATTTTCTCATCTAATACATCGGACCTTGGTTTGTAATATTCCCCTTGTTCTCTATCATGGTCATAATGGTTACTGATTGGACAAAACGGAAATAATGCAGGTCAGAATGCTGGTCTCGCTTAAGGCCAAACTGCCCTAATTCACGTCACCATACTAGTCAATGGGCAAAAGGGCAAACGCCTGACTTTTTATCTCGAGTTATGGATTTATGTGGCCTCAATGGCCTATCTGAGGTTCTAAGGCTATGTCTAAGCTACATTTTGACACTAAACTCAATAGGGGCCAAACATCTACTTTTTGAAATAATTGGTCAATTGTGACACTACCCCCTCTCTCTGCCGACAGAAATTGAAATTCACAAAAATCAAGGCAAAATTAATACGCCACTTGACTCGAAATCTTCCTTCAGATAACCCAAATAAACGCATTTTCAGAAGAAATGGCATCTTGTCATTGCAAAAAGATGACAACTGTACCTTCATACTAGCTTACTGACTCGTCATGATCACAATTGTGTTGGGACTACATTCATTTCTTTAAACTACTTTTTTTTTATTCAGCGGAAGTGACGTATTGGGGCATTTTGGCCTTAAACACTTTTAAATCGAGAAAACAGAAAACTTGTAGAGGAAGTTCATCCATTTTGTTACATTGGCGTTCCGTCAAAGTGTAACTAGTTGTGGAACAGTGACAATGCCGATGTCGGTAACGGTTGTTTACAAGAACTCGTTCATTTGATCTACCATTCATTGGCTCATTGACTAAAATCATTTATTAACACTCCATGCAATGTGCACTGTACTTCCTGTCCGAACCTCCGGAAGAGGTGCACATCTTCATACGATATTTACTTGATATATAGTTTGTTGGATATAATATTGCTCTGATTTCATTATTTGGAAGCTAATTGCATTGAATCTCTGTATTTGAAGTGGTGTTTTGATTGACACGATATATTATGAAAGCTATTGCTGTTTTGTTCCTCGCGATCGACTGGTTAGATTTCGCCATCTTGAAACATCACATTAAATATCACCTTGAAAAACTAATACGTACAATACGCCGATGTCAATGCAATTTAGGAGTCTGAAACTTTAACCCATTCAATTAAATTTAATCAATCTGGATCTTTAAAGAGTAAATTAAGATATATGTGCATTTTATCTTATCATTCTTGTCCTCGTGGGAGATTGCTCCATTTTATATGGAAATTTTGATCATATATGAAACTTTTCTGGTATATTGATACATCCTAAATTGATATTTGATGTAGACCTTAAATACAAAATGGAAATAGGGAAACAGAAAATAAGAGCAAATACTTAGGCCTGATGCAAAACCATCCCACGGGGCATGAGTAAACTGCACAAATGCATTTTATACAACTTAAGGAAATTGGTAATGTCACGTGTACTTCAGAATTGAATCCATTGCACGTTTTATCCTGTCAGTTATAGTCAAATAGATTTTTGTCTAACTTCTCATTTTACTACCAACACAACAACTTACTAACTACTAAATGTATATTTATTGAATATGATCTCGCATGCCTTTTCTGTATCCAGTTTAATTTCCAGATGCATTTATCTTTCATGATACACTGTTATTCCCAAAGTGCGTGCCTGTACAGTATTATTACAGAACAAAGGGGATGTTAATATAAGAGCTATTAAAGGCACCAAAGGGAGATATAGTATATTTATGCATCTAGTGTCCTAATCTTCTCCTTTACTCTTACTATTCTTCTTTAAATGGAGGAACAAAATATCTTTCGAAAATCTGCTACCTGAAGGCAGGCCATCTTGTTACAGACACAGTGGCTGTGTATTACGTTGAGACCAACTGATAATGGTGCATTGCAACCAACTCCTCCTCCATATCTAGAATATTTCCCACATAAACGTTGTAATGTCGTTCTATGCGCTGTACATTAGAGATAGAATCAAAGCTCAAAATATAATGTTTTATGTTTTTATATTTTCAGGACGAGAAGAACCAAATCATGACAACTAATGTATGGCTTAGACAGGTATATATATTACTCAGATCATGACAACCAATGCATGGCTTCCACAGGATATCTATATCTTATACTCAGATCATGACAACCAATGCATGGCTTCGACAGGTATATATTACTCAGATCATGACAACCAATGCATGGCTTCGTCAGGTATATATCTAGATCTTATACTCAGATCATGACAACCGATATTTGGCTTAGGTATATTATATCTTTTACTTAGACCATGAGAACCAATGATTGACTTCGACAGATCTATATCTTATACTCATGACAACCTATGTATGGCCAAGACAGGTATATATTTATATTTTACTCAGATCATGACAACGTATGCATGGCTTCGACAGATCTATATTTTATACTCATGACAACCGATGTATGGCCAAGAAGGGTATATATTCATAACTTTTACTCAGATCATGACAACGTATGCATGGTTTCGACAGGTTTATATTTATATCTTTTACTCAGATCATGACAACGTATGCATGGCTTCGACAGGTTTATATTTATATCTTTTACTTAGATCATGACAACGTTTTCATGGCTTCGACAGGTATATATTTTTATATTTTACTCAGATCATGACAACTAATGCATGGCTTCGAAAGGTATATATATATTTGAATACATGAACTAATGTATTGTCCATCATAAGGCCGGGATTAAACGTTTCTGGCGGCTTTTTGGTCGGCAAGAAGTTACATGTATTTGGTCTTAAAATCTGCTATTAAACATGAAGTACAAAACATGTTCGTTATTTCGACGAGTCAATTACCAATAGGATGGTAATGGCTGGCCAAAATGTAAACATATAAATCCAAACATTTAAAGGAAACACTAACCAAACAAATACTGATGATTGATGCCATGGTTATCATGACATCCAATGAGGGTGATAAATCAAGAGTAATCATCTCAGAAAATGTATCCCTAAATAATAGCAACATTAAACATTATTTAGGAATGTCAAGCACTAAACTTAATTAACACGTTATCTAAAGATCACCGTGTGATCAGAAGTTACAATGTTGATCAATGGCGTTAAAATAATGGAAATATCCCCAAAGGAACAAGATCATAAGATAAAACATGTAATTTACTTAAAACTTATCTGGTTTGGCTTTTCCCATGTGAGTCTATGAAGATTATGGTTTTGGTAATTGAGTAAAGTTTGTGTGTCCTTAGTGTATACACGATGAGCGAAAATGCCTATAAATCCAATGATTTACTGACTGAAATATCTTATTACAGAATCCAACGCTGTCATTCGGTAATGTGAGTTCGCTAAATTCGCTTGTTAAGTTGAGAACATACGGATTCTTTTTCTGTAATATCTATAATTTGAGGTTGAAACAGTAATATTTTTTGTCAATTTTATAAAAGATATTAAAGGCCAAATGTACCAGTAAAAACATACCAGTGTTTGATTATATTTTGGGAGATTTTTTATGAAAGCGTATATTTATTGCATAATTTATTATGGGATACTTTGTTATAGGATATTTACTGTATCATATTATTTATTCTGTTCGACTTATTTATAGTGCTTTATTCGTTTTGAAATGTTGCCCTTTATGCTTTCTCAGGCACAGGTACTGTACATGTCTTTTTCATATTTACGTGAATTTATCAACGGGTCATTATCCCCGTACATTGTTCATGTAGACAAAATGAACATATCAAATTTCTTCGATTGCAGAAGTTAAACATCCATAAAGCATTCGCTTTTTTATAATTGAGTCTGCCAGTTGCAGATTTCCCTTGTTGTCAATAATACAAAACTGATATGTAAATCGAATCATTAACTCATAATCTTATGGCTTGTTTTATTAATCTCCTCAGACATGATTATGGTACACAATAGACCTTCAATGCCAGCCTCAAAGAATATTGAACTTAAGTTTCAGTCCTAAAAGCGTTCAATGTAGCATCTTACTAAAGGAAATGACTTTTCTGCAAACACCACTCCAAAAATAATGAAAATCGAAAGATTTCAAGTTCATTCACTTTTGAATAGATCTCAGACTTGGCATTGTGCAAGACTATGCTTGGTATATAGAAATTTTTATGTAATTGAAAGGGACAAAGGGTAATATCAGAATAACATAAAACAAAGGAATCACGCGAACAATCAAGTCTAGACACATTTAATAAAATTCGAATGGAAGTGTGTCGCATACCCCCTCCCCCCCCCCCTCTTTTGCTAGGAGCTTATTTGAGATCTTTAGATGTTTTTACTTATACTTTGAATCTTTCTTCTTAACACTGTCTCCAAAAATATTGCATTTCACATGGTGCAAAGGTAAAACATAACATACGTAAACGTATGAACGCAACATAAACCCTTTCAATATACACTATATGGAGTCATATCGAGTCGTCTCGACAAAAAAAGTAACAAAATTCAAGTCAATATTAGGATACCATGATATCAGGTTCTGGTTCAGTCTTGTTACCGGATCGATTTACATTGACATTTATTGCATTTTTTATATTGTATTATTGATGATCAATTCAGATTGATCTCTCGCTTGTTATACTTCCTTTCCAATACAACAGCTGGCTTCTAGAATTTACGAGCCTGGATTGTATTTGTAAATCACACAAACTATCATGTTACGATCTATTTAAGTAAACATAAGTTTCGATTTATGAAATAATGTTCAATTAATATTCAAGAGCATTATGGAAGCCTATAATTGCTTAACATATGCGTATGTTTGCTTCATGGCTGGCTGTTACATTTATATACTTATATGCATCTTGAAAAACAGAAGCAGAATCTTATATAAGTTCATACATACACCAAAAAATGAAGTCTAATTTTGGAGAAACCTTCTCAATTTTGTTGGAATCTTCTTGTGTTGATTCAGCGTCAAATAAATTTAAGCGGACGATATTATATTTTCATTGATTTAGAGATGAGCTATTTCACGTTTTACGTCTTGGTTTATCTAGCATTAATCATACAAAAATCGTCAAGACGTTGAGTTTTCTGTCTTTGCTTTTATTCCACCCTTTTACAGTATGCTAATTAGGGGCTTTGTTAGGTAACTCAATCCCCCAGTCCTACAGTGTATATAACATAAATTGTTGATATTTTCCAGGAATGGGATGATTATAAGTTACAATGGAAGCCCAGTGAGTATGGAGGTGTGGATAGACTATACGTGCCATCCAAGGAGATTTGGCTACCAGATATAGTACTATACAATAAGTAAGTCATGGTGCACTCTTGCATCGAGCCTCTTTACAGCACTCCCCGCCTCCGGTCCTCGACTCATCAAGAATTTCAGAGGAAGGGGGACTAATGCACGACTGGAATGAAGATAAATAAAGCAAAATAACCTTGAAATAAGAGAATAAGCTGCTTATTTTGAAAATGTGCTTGTTTGCATATACGTTTTATAATGACAGGGTCGTCGTAATATTAACTAAAAAAGCTATCCATTGTATTTGATGACTTTGTTTTTTAATTGTCGTTTGCTTTCTGTGTAGTCGTGTAATTGTCTTTTAGCAGTTTAGTAAACGTACTACATGATTGATTTTTAACACATTTTGTAAAGATATTAGACTACTGAAGTAATACACGCTTGAAAGTCCAAAAGCGAACTCGATTCGAATTCATCAACGTCGGTTGGCTCGATATTCCATCATGGCCACTCATGATTGAGAATGTCGTCTAATATACACTCCCCTTCGTAAGTTTGGTAACTAAAATTAAATGCCCAATGATCCAGATTCAATTTTTTGTTCGGATACTACTATTTTCAATTGATCATTTACCATGTCATTTATCACGATGACTAAATAAATGAAACAAACTCGTCTTGTCATTGTCCAAACAATGATGTATTTTGTTAACCAAATAAAATCGGATATGTTAAAAAACTCAAAACAGGTCAATAACACGTACGTTGACACGTACTTATGTGGTAAAGGTAAATGATGAATTTGTGCTAAACTTATGGAGGGGCGTGTAAGTTTGGAGTGTTAATATGTTGTGTTGTTTTGTTTCATTAAAAGTATTGTTTCCATCATGCCTTCACTCGGTCTGTAGATCCCATAGTCTTATTGGACTACTGCAACAGCCCGGCCTAAGGTGCATGGACGGATTGCGGGGCCATTATCCCTAAGACCCAGACTTTAGTTTTTATGCATGTTTTCAAATAATCTTGGGGGAAAATCATGATAGCAAATCGATGATTTTGGCCAAATATTACACCATTTACAGATACACAGATACCCATGGGATCCTATTAAACGTCAGGAATGGTAAACGCTGTCTAAAGATTTACGTCTTCAATTAACACCGTCGTTTATCATGACTTCAGTTTGAGTGAAACCAGGTTCAGAGTTGCCAAATGCTGTACTTTTATTGACTTCTCATTAGATGGAAACCAATTCGATTTGCAATAAATCATCCTTAAAATTGATCACGTTTTACATAAATGTTTTTTATCTCCGAAGACATAATCAACACTTAAGTTAAAGAAAACACATCACGCGAGGATATGAGCAACATTTTCCAACTTTGACATTGTAATAACACGCCTTTAGTTCAGCTAATCTGTATAATGTACATGTTCTTTTTCTTCTGCTTCAGAAGTGTTTTTCAGCAAGGCCATAAGCGGCTTTAATGAACGAGTTTTTCAGCAAAGCCATAAGCGGCTTTTAAGCACGTCTTTAATATGAAAGCAGGATGGAGATATACAACGCAAATTCTGTCAGACTGTCCACCTTGTCCTCTGTCCCAGCTTTTTATGTGTCTAACTCTTCACTCGCCTGAGCTTTTTGTCAACTTGAACTTACATATTTTTGCATAATGTCATTTGTTGGCTTGTTAAAATGAGTGTGCTTTGTTACAATTTAGTTATCAAATTCTAAAACTATTTTAACTTTGACCCCCATATTTGTTTAGCTTTATTCAATGATGCACCTGGTTAAAAACCAGGTTGAAATAATTAATAGTAACAATAACACGTTATACTATTTTGACAAATGTTAAAAAGCAATTTTCGTATAGTGTAATTGCACATCTCCATACGTCATCATTTTGTTATTCAGCATAGCACATATTCACTCAGTCACCATTTCTAGAGTGGAGTTTCGTGGATTTTGATACACTGCACTGTGTGGCATCATTTAACTCAATAATGAATGTGCACATATGTGAATGTACACGATCCCATTGTAAATTTCAGCGCTGACGGCAACTACGAGGTGACATTAATGACAAAAGCAACTTTATACCCAGATGGGAAAGTGCTTTGGGAACCTCCAGCCATTTACAAAAGTTCGTGTACAATAAACGTTGAATTCTTTCCCTTTGATGAACAAATATGCGATATGAAATTTGGATCATGGACATACGATGGCTTTCAAGTTGACCTCCAGCACTTTAGCCGAGATGAGAATGACGAAAATGACCATATTCCAGTAGGAGTTGAGCTCCAAGACTTCTATAGAAGCGTAGAGTGGGACCTGTTGGGCGTTCCAGCGAAGAGGAATGAACGATTTTACCCTTGTTGCCCCGAACCCTATCCAGATATAACATTCACAATTTCAATACGAAGAAAGACATTATTCTATACAGTTAATCTAATAATCCCATGTGTAGCTATATCCTTCCTTACTGTTCTTGTTTTCTATCTACCCTCCGACAGTGGAGAGAAAATTACCTTGTGCATCTCCATTCTGCTTTCGTTAACCGTGTTCTTCTTGTTGCTTGCTGAAATCATCCCACCAACGTCGCTGGTTGTGCCTCTTATAGGTAAATACCTCTTATTTACCATGATACTCGTCACTCTGTCAGTCATAGTGACCGTTATAGTACTCAATGTGCACTTTCGCTCACCATCAACGCACACCATGTCACCGTGGGTGCGGAAGGTCTTCCTGAATATCCTTCCGCGCTTACTTGTCATGCGTAGACCGAACCTCGAGAAAGACAAGGCTCCAAAGGTTCTCGTAAGGACATGTAATGGTGTAGAAATTAGGGATTCATACGGTGGAGGTGGGACAAGACTAAGTAGAGACTTGACAAGTGAAAGTGTATATGGAAACTACGTGGATAGATCAGGGGACGAACACACAACAGAGACACATCACAACCATGACAACCCAATTCCACCAATCAGGAGGACGACGTATAGCCCGGATGTACACAAGGCTCTGGAAGGTGTAAAATTCATTGCTGAACATCTCAAAGAGGAGGATGAAATAGATGGGGTACGTAAGAAAATATAGGACATCATTATATCTAAATCTTAAATTGGATTAGTTTAGTCTGTCAGATAAAATTTGGGTAAATAGTTCGTCTTTAGTAGTGTTACTTGCTAGTTTGGTAAATAAAATTGTTATAATAGCATATAGTAATACGTATGTATATGCCATTTAAATAGTTCAGCCAGCTCCCTCAATTCCTTAGCATGAGATCTTTCGTTTAACCTCTATTTTTGTAATAAGAACTGTTTTCAATGATTTATATTATACCTCTGTTTTTTGTTTTTATTTGCTTGAGTTATGATTACTAACGCTTGCTATATCATATATTAACCAGATAAATGTGTAAACGCTGTCAGTTCCTAAAGATATGATGTTTGATAATGTTTCATCCCTGTCATAAATAGTGCCTATATCAGATTGAGCATAACATTCATTATTTTGAATTCCATATCATACTGTTTTATATGGCGAAGTTGTCTTCTTATCGGATCTTTTAAAAATTACCTCAACCTTGTAATTCTTTCTTCTAACTTTAGCTTCTTTTCAAGTGCTGTATTTATTGCGTATTCGTGATAATTTGGCAAAGAGCAGGAGAATCCCATGACAACAGAGTCTTTTCCGCACATTCTTTAAAGGGAATTCAATTGAAGCGAATGGACAAATATAGTTTGCAATGACACCTGTTGATCAATGGGAATATCATTTCATAGCGTTCATTATATACTCGAACTATTTTCCAATGCCTCAATTTGTTGTTACCAAGTTGTTGTTACAATGATAAAGTAAGAATTGTCATCTCGACCATCAAAATGACCTACGTTTGTATCACAGGTACAGAAGAAACAGAATGACAATAAGTATCAAAGATGAAAAATATCATGTAGTCAGTCATATTCATTCTTTGACAAGTGGTTTTCTAGTTGTTAAACTTATGGAGGGTTGTGTATCATCTAGATGGCTCCGAATGTGCTACTCTTTTAAGAATACAATGTTGCAGCAAACAATGTTTTGACCCCTGACCCCTCGCCAGTAACAAGATCCTGAGTACATTATTTTGCTCAAAATATCCTAAGTGTAGTTCAACCAAGGGCTTATTTAATACCCGGGGCTTAAGTTGTGTACCAAACGAAACGACACGACATCCGGGGCTTTATATGATAAGGAGGGATTGATTTTACTTACCAATCACCAACATGAGCAGGAATATTCAGCTCTGGACTTCATGTCCAAAGGGGGGTAAGACACATCGTCAGAATCAAATTTAAGTTATCGCACCCCTAATTTAATTGGTTGATAGAACAGTATACGGTAAAAGGCCGAACGCCGATTACATTGAAATTGCGAACGAGGAACGTTCCGGGTATTACGTTCGCCCTTGGTTTAACTAGTTATAAAATACTACTAAACTAAATGCATGTTCGAATTGGTCGCGCACAATGTTAATTGGACTATTTTTAGGTACGAGAGGATTGGAAGTACGTCGCCCTTGTACTGGATAGATTGTTTCTCTGGATCTTTACTACAGCTTGTCTGATGGGTACATTGGGCATTATCTTGCAAGCACCCTCAGTGTACGATGACAGACAACCAATGGAGGCCGGATCCTAACATCCGGGTACCTTCTCTCATTTCTGGAGCTTTATACTAACATGTAGGTTTAACTCTAGATAGTGATATATAGAATATAATCTCTAGAATGTGTATGCAAAACCTTATCGACACCCCTCTTATCTAGAGCCCAGGAAAGTCGTGCGGCCAGTCAAGGTGACTCATTTATCAAATTCGTAAAATATTTTCTGTAAAATCGGTGCATCGTATTACAGATACTGATAAAACTATGGAAGAGAGAATGTACATAAAAATGTATTTACCAATAATGTTGAAACATGTGAAACAATAGAAAACAGTTTAGGATTTATAATAAGAAGTTGGGAATGAGAATATGTGAACTGAAACGCAACAAATTTTCATTCTAAAATATAGGTGTCGTGACAGGTCCGAATGCTCTTAAAATGAAAGACTTGTATTTGGTACTGTAGATTTGAGAAAAACATATATTAACAACTCATTCGGTATCCATCGTCGTTGCTTATGACATGTTAAAAGTGATAAATCATTTTTAATTGGAACTGATGAAAATGAATCTAAGATACCCCATCAGCAAGCATACGCATAGGCTAATCGTTTTTATCAGTCATATACATTGACTTAGATAGATTAGTGTGTAACAATGTGATTTAACACAGCCATCATTAATATCAAACTGATCCCATGGTTTGATCTTATATTGTGTTTGAAAGAGATAATAAATTAATTATATGATCCACGTCAACCTGCATAGTAGAGAGAACGAGATAGTGCCAGCTGACTGTACACGATTAAAATAGGGAGGGGATGAGGAGTTATCAAGTCTATAATCCCTTCCTGCTAGATTGGAGTATAATGGTGGGAAATCACGAAGTGAAACATTACAACGAAGAAACTGCACATACTGACATACCCAATCGTATATGTTCAACAATGAGTTGTAATACAACAAAATTCATTTGTGACTCGAACACACACACCCATATATCTGTTGTAAAGGACTTCCGTATTCATATCAGCGTATTACCTGTGAACGCCCACTACGTAGTACGTACACAATGGTAGTATCTAATATGTTATTGGAGGAATATTTAGATCTGTAACGTTTTCTACTCTTTGTGTTGGTGTTTTCATCGGGTACACAACCTGATGCTATAGCTGAGTACCCGATAATTGAGGTTTTTGCTTGTGCTTTCATAGGTAGTTTGTTAATCTCATAACCGGGGTAATGCATTTTGGATAACAAGGGCGGATAGTATTTGTAGTATTTGTGTCATGCGAATGAATGAATGGGAAATGATTTTATGATTATTAAGCAGGTTTTGGTCTGTCCGATAGTCCTCCAAATGAGAAGATCTCCATTGTTCTTGATTCAGGTTGAACGTCTAAATGTATATGAGTATATATGAGGAATGTTTTTTCCCTCTATTCTTTGTGATGAAGTCTTAAATGAAGCCTACGTGTACATGCCCTCCCCTTGCTCCCTATCGTCCTTTCTACCACGATGTGCTGTGTGCTAAAGTGCGATTGGGTAATGAGCGTAATGGATAAATCAGGAGCACAGGGTCCGTTTTACGTTTCCAAGAAAGTCTTGATATTTTTAAGAAAGACAATGACTGGTGACCAATGTCATTTTGCCGCACGTGACACCTGTCTTGCATGACATGAACAAATCCCTGATGCTCTTGAAGTGTTCAAAATATATAATAACCTCTTCTTTGTTGCTTTTTGCGATAACATGTTGAACTGTTTGTCGATTTCAGGTCAGAGAAGACTGGAAATATGTGGCTCTTGTACTGGACAGATTGTTTCTCTGGTTGTTCACTACGGCATGTACTATAGGAACGTTGGGTATTATTTTACAAGCCCCTAGTTTATATGACGATAGGAAACCATTGATGCAAGAAGGTGTTCTACCTCAACCGACTGACATTGCACCAACAGACGCTATTGGTGATATTTTAGATTACTGACGTTGGATGTTGGAATAGTTACGAATCTGCGCCTGGAAGAAATTTTGACGATGGTCGATGGTCTTATATTTGTGGTCATGGACAAGCAAGCTGAATTTGATGAACCTTAGTCGACTTTTTAGTCTTGCACCAACTACCTATTATGGTCCCAAAAGTGACGGATACTGAGCTTAAAATGAACATTTTACTAGAATGACACTACTTTAAGCATCTCGCCTAGTTGTAACATGAGTATACCCATATCTCAACAATTCCCCACGTTAGTGGTCCGGGTAGTTGAAAACTAAATCAAGTAACATAACATAGCTCACCCTTCTGAGGTTTGTATAAGAAAAGGTATGGGGAGCATTGGTTGATGCAAAACTTGCAAGTTCTCGCTCTTATCATGTTCGCAGCATTTATGACAATCGTACGCGTGCAGTACAATCATTCTCTTTGCTGTATTATCATTATATTTCCTGACTCTGTCCTGGAAGTTATGAAGTACTATAGTAGAGGGACACAAATTCAGCATAATTTGTATTCATCATATTGTTTACCACCCCAATTATACAATCATACGAAGATTCGAAGGTGGTGCAGTCGCCTTTTCAATTCACTTTGATGCGTATTTTGTTAGTATTTGTGATTTGGAAATTTTAGATTGGGTTTGTGATGGAACGCAAAATTGTTATAATTGATTGTATAAATGGTTTTGTTACTGTACAAAAATGAAAATTATTTATTGTAAATATTTATTTGGATATTAAAATATATATTATTCAATATGCTAAAAGTATGTGTTCTCTTAGTTAACTACACTGCAGAACAGACCAACCCACGTGAATCATGCAACATAGTAGGGAGGTTGAGTAACAAGTTATAAAGAGAATCTGTACGTGAGCGTGTAACATTTCGACCCTCTGGGATTACCGTTCCGCTCTCAATTCACTAGTCTTGCTCTAAGACTGTATTCACCCCCCCCCCCCGTCACCTTCACTCTCTTTACCTGGCAACATACAGAGAAGAGAGAGAAGGATAAAGGGGGGAGTACAGGGTCTTTTAAGCAAGACTATCAATTCACTTTTCCAGGGACATAATTACAATTAATTTCCGTATACTTTTATACTCAATAGGCCAGGTAAATAGTACAAATGGGAGAACTAATCCATAGACGACCATAATACTACACGTTCACGTACAAGTTTTCAAAAAGGTGTATCTTAACCACCCTATTAATTAGTTATTATGTCATTCTTACATTTTTTCAGCCCAGACATAAGATTAACTCATTGCTATTTTTCAGAAACATCTTTCAATTTTGTCTACACACATCAGTTGCGAAGCCAGGATTTGTCAAGAACTTCTTATATCTTTATGATGAATGTTACAAGGATGCCTAGTGTGGTATCTTGAATCTAGCCAGTATACACTAGGTTCACCAAAAGGTGTCAGGATTCATTGGAAGGTCTATTGTAATTTGTAATACTGTGTAGATCATCGGATTAGGTATACATGTAACACAAAAAATAACTATGGAAGGAATCTCCCCTTAAGCCAGGTATCATTTTGGAATTATTGGATTATCAGATGAAAGAAATTAAATTATTCATACATTCCATGAAATATATCAGATTCCTTTGATCCTTGATAAAATATCAATAAGATGATCTTCGAATTTAATCGGAAATCTGGTGCTATTTCTGAGCTCTAAAAGCTCTTAAGAGATATATCGCTATGTTTACCTGTTTTCCTAAATATAACAGAGTGTGACTGCCACCCGGGCTGCCACCTTTACTACCTATCCAAATATCACCGAGACATACTCAGAAGAACTGACCCATGTGTTCCAGATACACAGACATACTATACAAGCGCGCAACCTTTTTCAATAAATCATCCTGAATGACATTTATGCAAAAGGAATGTGTTGCCTGAACGAGGATCATTGCGTATAAGTTGAGCTGTTCTAATCACTGAGGTATATATCGGTGGGCTAAGTTTGTACCTAACTACAATTATGAATATTTATGATCATGAATACTGGTTAATCTCAGACCCATATATTACTCCAAGAAAAATATATATAATGATAATTATGTTAATCAGACTAAGTGATATTAAAGGGGTAATGGACCAATCAACATACTTTTTGAAAAATGTTGACCTAATTTTCATTAAAAATGCAACACTTTATTATTATGTTAAATGCATAATTAGAATATGGGTCTTTTTCAAAAGTTCGTCACTCAAAAGTTCAAATATTACATGCTCGATATCTCAACATTTTGAGAAGTATAGCCAAAAACGATTATTTTATTCAACTCAGTAGAGGTCAAAAAGATACTGAGGATAATATCAGGTGAAAATGTTAAAATTTGTTGAAGTTATTCACTTTTTTGGGCTTCGTGTCCAGCTGTTTTTGCAGTTTTTTAAGCAATTTTGGGGGGTACATCAGAGATACATCCCCTGGATCTTTCTTTCTGGAAATGAGGCGGAAAATGAGTTGCCACAAGTCTACAGAGGTTATCTATGTGAATCATTTCGTTTTCAGATAATAAATCTACCATACTCGAAAAATAAGACAATGTCAATTTAGAACTAACGTGCACGCACGTTATTCATGAGCTCCAGGCTGATTATTTTTACAAAAAGTCAGATGAAGTGTTTTTTCGAAAGGAGGATACACCGAGCTCTCATTGTGTTCAATGCTATATGAAGTATATATGGAAAATAATTTTTATGCTCAGTTGCGTGCATTATCGTTTTTCGTGTCAAACTCGTCACGCACGTTAGAAAGTCTATTTTCATACAAAATACGCGATCACATGTGTAAATGAAATTGTATTTTATTTACACATTTACGAGATGTTATAGATCCAGTGGTAAGTTTCAACTCTGAAGCGGCAATATGGTCTTTATAAGTTGCTCGAAGATTGGTGTCAAACTTCGTTACGCACGTTAATCCGCCACGCACGTAGTCCTTTATCGTGTCATACTCTCGCATTAACGAATTACTTAAATTTCTCGTTGATATAAAACGATTTTCACACACACCTAAATGTAAGAAAGGGAACCTTCATCTGGAATCAGCAAATATTGTGGTTGTTTTCGTCATTAATCTGTTTTTTGACAACATAGCTTAATTTATATGTGATAAAAGTGTTCGTGTCAAGCAATCACGCACGTTATAAAAGATGTACATCTTGTCCTTAT